TACTACATTTGGCCAAAAACGATGCGCATTAGATTCGCGTAAATAAGGTAGTATGTAGTTATATTTAATTATCGGATTCCAAGAAAAAAAAGGAAAAAAATGATATACACGTACAAAAATTAAATAAACATAATTTATTAAAACAAACAAACATAAACATGATTTATTAAAACAAACAATAATACTTACCAGATTGATTAGTTGTATTGCCTTTTTTCTCACTTTTAATTCTGTAAACTCGTCAATTAGTTTGTCAAAACTCATAATTAATAGAGTTATTTAATAATTCTTTTTCTATATAAAGTAATGATAAACTATTTAATTTTTGTTAGCCTAATGTGGATCTTAAATTTTTTTTTTATTCTGGCCATTACTGAGAATGATCTTTCATCGCTTGCATTGCTTATTAGAAGTGTTAAATAAATTCTCAGAGTTGTGTTTAAATTAGGGAATGTTGGAATAATATTATTTTCCTGAATAAATTACCACATGGATACAGGCGAAATAATATTTTCTTCACTTATAAAAGTCTTAAATTGTAATACAGTAAACTCTCACTACAACGATACCCGATACAACAATAACTCCCTCTACTACAATAATCTTTTGTGGTCCCGCTTATTTTGCATATAAACTAATGTTAATATCCCCTCAATATTGCTATATTCTCTAGAACAATAAACCTCTGTAAAACGATTTTTTCAATCTAAATTTCAGTATTATTTTCTCCCTTTATAATAATATTTTGATTTTCAAATGCTTTTTTTTTTTCGTTTCCTTTTGTTATTTTTTCCGTCTATTAAGACTCTTTGTGGATATTCAACTTATCCCTGAATAAATAGCTATTGTTCAGATTTCAAAACAGATGAAGACCACCCTTTTTGGAATTGGAGTGGGTGGGGGTGAAGTGTAAATGTATGCCTAGTCTTATTTCCCAGTAAGCTTTGGAATTCTGATAAGGTTTAAGAACATCTAGACCTGTCTGGTCACCTTGTCACAGAACAAGTGCAGTTTGTTAGAGGAACAGGGGGAGATGGAGGCAGGGTGTTGTTAAGTGACGTACTGAAAAGTGAGTTCAAAGGTTGTTTTATAGTCTTTAACGATTTTGAGTTCTACGCGAAACATTTAGTTTAAACTTTTCTTTCTTTCACGCGATATTGTTCCCTAAGATGGCAGGGCGAAAGCAACGATTTTTTCGAGATAAACTTTCGCACCAATTAATTATATATATATATCATTGATATCAATGATATTGATGAGGGAATGAAGCAGATTGATGCGACTAAGAAACATGGATTATCGCAATCTACAGTTGCAACGTTCCTAAAGAAGAGAAAGCAAATCGAAGATGCCGTAACTTCAAATGAAATTAACCCAGAGCGAAAACGACTGAAAGTTGTGACAAATGAAAACATTGATGCTGCTGTTTTAAAATGGTTTCAAGTAATGAGAGCAACAAATGTCCCAATAAATGGACCTTTATTATGTGCAAAAGCACGGAAATTTGCAGCAATGCTAGGGAACGAAACTTTCAAAGCTAGCAATGGTTGGTTAATGCGTTTTCGAGATCGTCATGGAATAACTTTCCAAGAAGTTCACGGAGAGAAAAAGTCAGCCCCGATAAACGACGCAAATGAATGGCGGCAAGACAAGATGAAAGAAATCTTAGAAAAGTATGCTCCAGAAGACATTTATAATGCAGATGAAGCTGGGCTGTTTTTCCAACTCCTACCCGATCGTACATTGGCATTCAAGGGTGAAACGTGTTATGGAGGGAAGAAATCAAAGCAGAGACTGACAGTTCTTCTGTGTACAAATAGCACAGGAATGCATAGAATACAACCTCTCGTCATTGGTAAATCATTGAAGCCAAGGTGCTTTAAGAACGTGAAAAGTCTTCCCGTGGAGTATAAAGCAAATAAGAAGGCTTGGATGACGTCTAAATTTTTTTCCGAATGGTTACAGAAGTTAGACAATGAAATGAAGAAGAGAAAGAAAAAAATCGTTTTGTTGATAGATAACTGCGGTGCTCACACGTCATTTCCAAAGCAACAAAATATCGAAATCGCTTTTTCCCTGCCAATTGCACTTCAATTTTACAGCCTCTTGATATGGGCATAATTAAGTGCTTCAAAGGATATTACAGAAAACTGTTGGTGGACTCCATACTTGTAAACTTCAAAAATAAAGTAGAAGACCCTTTCAAAGCTGTAAATGTCAAGGAAGCGTGTGACAATATTGCTGGACGTTGGTGGGAAGTAACAGAAAAAATCATTCGGAATTGTTGGAAAAAGGCCGGTCTTTGTGTTATGGAAGATAAGAAATCTGATAATGATGAAAATTCCATAGACAATGATCTCTCAGATGATCAAGAATGTGTTTTGCACATCAAAAAATCCGTATCCCAACTTGAGGAAACAAGCGGTAAAAAGTTTGGAATTAGTATAGAAGACTATTTAACAGCAGATGATGATCTTATGGTTTTCGCAGGAGTTACTGATGAAGATATTCTCTCTGAAATTACTGATGAGATAGGAAACAATGATGATGATGATGATAATACAGGTCCATTGCAGTCCTTATTGTCATCCCAGGAAGCTCTTCAATCTGTGAATTCTCTACGGACGTTTTTTTCAAGCCTTCCGTCGACAAATGAAGAACATTTTCGTGCACTAGACTCAATGCATACAGTATTGGTGAACTTAACAGTTAAAAAAATCAATAAACAAACAAAAATATTGGATTATTTTCAATAAAAAGTGTTTTCAGGTATGTGAATATTTCTGTGCTTATTTTTGAATTTATCTTATTTATTTATTTTTTTAGTATTTAAACCACTATTATTAGTATTTTACAAATTAATTTCTTCTAAATATAGACTTAAAAGTAGTATGTTATGCACTTTAAACTAATAATAATAAAAAAAAAAACTTATTAAATGCTCAAAATATGTGGGCCCTGGATATAACAATATGCCTCTCTACAACAATATATTTATTTGGTCCCTAAAATATTGTTGTAAGGAGGTTTCACTGTACTTCATTTTTCAGTTCTGGGTTTAAAGCTTGTTCATAACATTTTAATTCCTCTATTGAAGAGTCACTAACATCACTATCATTAAAAATTGTTTTGAATTTATTGTTAATAGTTTTATATCCCTCGGATCTTTTTTTAATGTTTCTAATTAAAGAATCGCATACAACAAAAAAAATATTAACTTTAAAATGTTCTTTGCCGCTGAATCTTATTTCATGTTCTGGAATTTCCTCATAAAATAGTTTATGTATTTTCTGCCGTTTTTTATCATTAGTATATGCAATGGATATGCTTCTTTTTCTAAATTGCCAAAATCATCTCTAACAGTTTGTATGAAATCTATCAATGAATCATATATTAAAACTGCTGTAATTAGGGATTCATCTTTTGTTGAATAGTCTTTTTTGAAGCATCTATTCTCTCTAAAATCTTTTTCCATATAGTAAGTAACAGTACATACTCAAATGTATCAAGTTTTTTATGTAAATCGGCAGCTTCATAACTTGTTAATGGTTTTTCATCTTTGTTTGAGGAAACATGACGTAAACAATGTTTAATTTCTTCATAATTTTCCTTTAAGGATTTCACAGCATCGGAACGACAGACCACCTGGTGTCACAAATAGTGTTTGCTCTTACAAATTTTTGTAATGCATTCCACCTATGTGTAGAACTTGAAAAAAATATGTACAATTCCTGAATGATATTGAAAAAAGTGGTCATTTCCATGCAACTTTCAGCAGCAGCGTTTCCAATTAAGTTTAATGAATGATTTGCTCATCACAAACAAAATCACAATTTCTGATATTTTATATTATATATTATTTTAATTAAATAATGTAATACTTCTATAAAAACTTATGTTTTTATTTTAGGAATTCCAGAAAGTATTAACTATGAATCCAAAACAATCTATTTGCAATCAAGTCTAGGTACTTAAGTCTTAATTGCACAATTTTCAATCACAACTCACATAAGATACAATACGTTCAGGAGACACTGATTTTAAATAGCTACGTTTCACTTTTTAAAACACGTGCATAGTAAAGGCTTGATAGCCGCGAGGCTCGATCGTACTCACGGGCGTAGATGCATAAGCATGGGAATGCTCGTCCACACTTGTCGACTTTATCAATCATCGATTCGGCATAATTTGGATATGTTTCAGCAATAATTGTGAAGATCACATTTTTCTGTTAAGTAAAAATAAAAATTAATTATAAAAATTAAAAACCTAATTTTCGGGCCCCAAAAATTATGGGCCCTAGGCACATGCCTAGGTTGCCTAGGCCTTAGTCCGCCCCTGTGCACATCATGTTCTGAGCTTCGTTGATACACAGGGTATTCAATTGCTGCCCTGGCCTGCACGGTCTCCAATTCTGTCACCCATTGAAAATACCTAGTCATGGGTTGCTGAGAGACTGGCCCGCCACCCCTTCCCAGCTAATATGGTTGATGAAGTATGGCATGTACTTGAAGCAGCATGGAATGAGTTTTCCATTTCTGTCATCCAAGCCCAGTTTGACTCCATGCCTAATGGGGTAAGGGTCGTTTCAGCTGCCAGGAGTGGCAGCTGTTTCTACTAATTTTGCACCCCTGTAAACCTCCAAAATGCTTACAAATTTAATCATTTTGTCTTCATACTGTACTATTTATGTGCAATAAATATCTTTTTAGTATTTGCTTTCCTTCATGGTGTTGCAATTTTAATGGCCAGCAGTGTACTTACTTCGGCATGTAGGGCCGCTTTCTAGGCTTTAAGTCTCAGGCATGTCGGTCGTCAAATTAGTGTTGCCTACAAATGGTGTATTTATATCAGATATTGTCCAAAACCCTGAACATCTTTTAAAATTTTAGTGAGAAGAAGTTGTATTCTAAACTTTGCTGTAGTATTTTACCGTCTTAACTTTAATTACATTTTAGAATATTTTTAATTAAAGCAATTTCTTTTACTTTTCTTTGCAGACATCTGTTATTGATTATGTCAAACCTTCTGATTTAAAAAAAGATCTAAATGACAAATTTCGAGAAAGATTTCCTCACATTCAGTTAACTCTCAGCAAACTCAGAAGGTATTCTGAAGATATTACTCTTTTTTTTTGTTTGCATCTAATTCATCCATTAAAAATGAATATTCTGCGATTTTATTTAAATCTAGGTTTATTAGTATCTAAATAAAACTGCAGAATATTATCTCATTTTTAAAGTATAAGCAGAAACTATACTAAAAATGTTCTATTTGTTAATGGTTTATCTATTGTATATATGCTACACCGACATAATATTTGCTGTATTTAGCACCCATGTGAAATTGCTAATTTTTCCTATTTTACAACAACAACAACAACAAAAAGAGTTCCTATCACATTTAAGCAAGGTTGTCAGTTTGGTATATTTTGATGGAATACCTTGATTAACAGAACTCATGAATTTAATAATATTCTTAATAGTCTGCAGTTTTTCTTAGTGAACAACTTGGAATTAGTCCATTTTTGCTAAGTGTGAATAGTCTAAAAAGAAAGCTGAATGAACTGATGAATGTGCAAATTCTGTTAACTGCAAAAAAAAAAAAAAAAAAAAAAAAAAAAAAAAAAAAAAAAAAAGCAGTAAATAAGATAACTGATTATACTATTCCTTGTACAAAATTAGTGCCTTTCTCCCTAGAATGCAGATTCATAAATGTCAGCATTTTTGCAGCATCCATTACACTGGAAATTAAGTTTTTCTGAAACACTTCTTCAGTTGTGTTTCCGAATGTTAATTTCTTGTCTCTATTATCCATTCATGCTACTTAGACAAACTTAAACTCACCAAACATAGACATTATATTTTACCTTAAGGCATCAAGCTGGATTTACTGCCAGCCATCTACTCTGCGTAAGCCTTAGAATCTCATTTTTAAAAGGTCTATTAACAGAGACATTAAATGATTGCAAAATTGAAGTTAATCCTTCAGAAATCATATTCTTTCTTTGATACTTTATCTGTCCTCTGTTTCTAGAAGATCACATGTAATATATCTAGTTTAATATTTTCCATCTGAAAAATACTTTGCTATTACCGTAGTTAGAAAGGAAACACAACAATGCTGAATTTAAAATCAAGTACATAAATTTTTAAATAAAACTGTCAGTTTTGAAAGTATGAGATATAGATACCTCTGCTTCAGGAATAAAACTACACTCATGTCCATAAATTAAGGATAATTCGGAGTCACGTGGAAATCAAACTCTAAAATAAATATATCACTTGTAAAATCACTACACACATCTTCAAGAATCATATGCAAATTTCAGGAAGTAACCAGATGACACCGATGGTACGTCACAATGATGAGAGTGAAGAGAGTGATATATAAGGAATACAGGCAAAGAAGTAAAATTGTTCACAGGCACTTTATAAGCATTTCAGTGCAATAACCGAATAGTTATGACACAAAGGACGCATTTGGATGATTTTTTACATAGTAGAATGGCCGTCTGGAATGTGGGCGTACCCAACTGGAAGTATCAGACGAACTTGGAATTGACCAGAGTGTCATCTCCAGGCTTTGGCAACGATTCCAAGATTATGGTAATGTGACAGCACTGTTCGCCCAGAGTTACAATGCCGAATGAGGACCGGTATTTGGCAGTTACTGCCAAAAAAAACAGGCGGAGCACAGCCTCAAACCTGTCTCGTCAGCTATCTTCAGCCACTGGTACGACAATTTCAAGGCAGACCGTGTACAGACGCTTAGGGCAGATTGGTCTATATGCTCGTAGACCTGTCAGATGCGTTCCACTTACTGCAACTCACTGTCGCCTGTGGCCGATGTTTTCCGACGAGTCCAGGTTTAGCTTGCACTCTGATTCTCGCCGGACTTTCATATGGAGAGCTCCAGGTACCCGTTACCACCAAGAAAACATCATTGAACGACACCGTTACGGTTGTGCAGGAGTGCTCGTTTGGGGTAGAATTATTCTGGGTTCCAGAACTGACCTGCATGTTCAAATTGGAACCATGACAAGCCAAATCTTATCGAGACGTCATTCTGGAACAACATGTACGCTTGTTTTGGGGGCACCATGCGTGCACAATTTGTGTTTATGGATGACAACGCCCGTCCTCACCATGCAAACATCGTAAGCGAATGCCTTCACTCAGAGGATATCATCCGTATGGACTGGCCAGCATTCTCACCGGACTTAAATCCAGTAGAGCACGTGTGGGACATGCTTGGCCGACGAGTTGCAGCCCGTCATCCTCCTCCTACATGTCTACCGGAACTTCAGAGAGCATTGCTTTTTGAGTGGTGTAATATCCCCTCAAGATCAGATCGATAATTTGATACTCAGCATGCCTAGGCATTGTACGAACTGTATTGCATCGTCTGGGAGACATACAATGTATTAACAGTCATACCAACCATGTAATATTGGTTTTTTGTAAATAGGTGTTTTTTGTAATTTGCTCCTGGGAGAACAAATCGCTATTTTTTTTAATAATATCAAACATATAGCATCTTTTCCTGCTCTTTACCTTTTGTTTAATAAATAAGCTTTACAAATAAGTCAAATTTGTTTTGCTTCTAACTCTTCCTTTGCCTGATTTTGCATTATCCTTAATTTATGGACATGAGTGTATTTTCCTTTATGACATCAGTTTTATTCAAAATCTAAGATTGTGTATTTTGTCTAATTTTAAAATCTAATATTCTCCCCTCCCAAAAAAAAATATGTCAGAAATAAGGGTGCAGAAATATGCACAGAAATTTAAATTACATCAATGCAAAAAATAGCACATTGTTACTAATTGTAAATACTCATTTTTAGGCACTTTCAATTTCGTATTGTAAAACCACAGAGGGGGGAATGAGTGAGTGAATTGAAAGATTTGGAGTAAAATTACTTAATAAATATTTATAAACACTTGACGACATATTCTATAGTTATTAAGTAATTTTATTCCCAATTTATGTAATATATCTAGTTTAATAAGTTCATGAATGTCTAGTACAAATAAATTAATTAATGATAGAGCTATTCAGCTTACAGTTTTTGCATGAGAACATGCTGAAAAAGCTATATAAAACAAATTTTTCTAATAAAAGATACATTTTTTCCTAACTAATTTATAATAAATATTATCCAAATCATAATCATAATTGAATTTGAGGGATAAATGGTTGAACTATTATCTAACTCTCAAGCCTACTGAAGACCAAGTGGCTAAAGCTTAGAGAATCCTTGTATTTTGTCTCAAATTCAATTCCAAGGGACTGAATAACAGCTTGAATTGTTTTTTGTGTTTTTCAAGTTACAATGAATGCAGCTAGTTTTCTTAAGAAATCCTCTGTAAAGCTGCTAATCGTAAAGCAATGTTTCTGTAATAAATTGCCTACATCAGATTTAAATGTGACTTTAATAGTGTCATTTATGTTAATGGTGAATATTATTTTCAAGAGTTAAATTATCTAAAATTATTACATCTGCAGTGCAGTTGAAAGCATTTAGTTCATCTTACAAGGCCAGTTCTGCTTACCAGTTGTCAGAGTTTCAGTCATGCAAGTCAGACTACTCACCCATTTAAAGTTTGAGAATAAGTTGGTCATTTTAGCTTAGCTTCCTGTGACTGCATAATGATTGCTAGCTATCCTGAGAAAAGCTATGGAGAGAACAAGTTATAGAGAGTTCAACTAGTTTTTCACCTTTAGGCCTGAATCTGACAATAGATTTGCATGTCAGAACCACTATGGACCTCAACTAGAGTTTCCTTTGGCCTCATTCTGCCTGGGCATAGTTCACCGTCTAACCTCCCTCTCTTAATTTCAACAGTGTTTTTTTGCCAGATAAATCTGACCATCAAAAATGATCATTTTGCAGGTTCACCTTCAAAAACCTTGTTATTGACTTTTACTTCCTTTAAATAATCAGGTTTAGTCATCTTTCTGGCGTACCAACACAGCCTGAATGCTGTTTCGAGAGCCAATCCAGAGTCGTCACTAAATCATTCAAGTGGTAGCAATGATTCACCTACAAAAACCTTGTTATTGACTTTTACTTCCTTTAAATGATAAGGTTTGATCATCTTTCCAGCATCCCAATATGACCTGAAAGCTACTTCGAGAGCCAGTCTGAAGACATCACTAAATCATTCAATCGGTAGCAACAATGGATATAAATTTGATGGCAGATAAATATAAACATGACCAAAAATATTTCTCAATTATACAAAGAAATTAGAAACATCAAAATTCTGCAACTCCCCTCACAAATAATGGTAACAATCGAAGAATATATTTGGCAAATAATCCTGTAATATTTACACATTTTTTAACTAATTTCACTTCTCCTTACTCTTTATATTGAAGCCTTGGATCAAAGTATAAATTTACAGATATATAAATTTAAATTTAAACAAATTTAAATTTTAACAAACATGTATATATGTAAAAACGCAAATTTAAAGTTAAAATAATTTAAAAATGTGCAAACATATAAAAGATTTAATTTTCGAACTAATCTACAATATCATTTAAATTCAGATAGCATAAGTAAATCAAGTGCAAACCAAACCATGAAAATAAATTCACCAATTTAGCAAATTAAAATTAATCTAAATTTTTTTTTTTTTTTTTAAACGCATAAGTGAATGACTGTTGAGCAGGCAGGAGACGGACTTATCAAGGGGAAGTTGCCTCCAAACCTAACTCTCCAATCATTCAATTCGTGTTTTGTCATTCATGCAGACAAGGGTAAAAGTCAAAACCAAAAGTAAAGAGAGAAGAAATACCAATAAAGTAGTACCTTTAGAAATTAGCAATTAAAAATTAAAGTTCTAAAGGGAAAATACCAATGAAGTCTTTTGAAAAATAAACAATGTAAAGTATTAAATTAAACTTTTTAAAAAATTTTTTTAGAAAAATTAATTCAGAAACCAAAGCATTTTAGAAACCTTTGCCTACAGAAACCTCCCCGACACTATGCATATCAATAAAAGAAACCAAAAGGAACTAGGCATAATTTATATAAACCAATAAGAAACAAAAAGAACTAATTCATAATTAAAAAAAAAAAAAAAACAATATATA